GAGGAGACACCTGTCTGCCATCCAGGGAGCAGCATGCAATGGCACACAGGTAAAGCCACAGAACACCTGACTACTTATAGATTAGCAGAAATTGGCTGAGTTTAAGTGTTAGAGCTAGTCAGTGATATGCCTGAGCTAATGGCCAAGCAGTTTTAATTAATATAAGCTTATGAGTGATTATTTTATAAGTGGGACTTGGTGGGACCTGGAGAAACTTTCCAGCTATAGGCATTGTATGTGCATGATAAACATGTAGACAAAATGCTCATACATAGACTTTTTGAAAATGACTATGATTATAGGCATGCACCACCATGCCTGTTATAGTAGTACTCTGGAAGTTGAGGCAGGAGGATTGCAAATTCATGAACAGAGAATAGAGATAGTCTAAACCATGTAACAAGTCCCCTTCATAAAAAATGGCACATACAAACTAAGGTCTTTCTATATGGCATCATTTTTCATGGTTCACATGCAGTTTTCAGTCAGCTGTCACATTTCTATTGTATATAACTTGTCACTGAAATAGTGGAAACTCACCTCCCAGCTCTGTAAGACAGAGCCATATTTCAAATTCATATTATCATTGTAATAATGATACTTCTAGAATGAAAACCACATGTAGAGACATGGCATCTTTGTGTAAATAATTTTTCTATCCTATCTACATCTCTAATGCAAAGGTTCTATCAATAATGTCAGGATTAGCACCCCATTTGAAAATGAGAAAAACTAACCTTTAGCATACCAAGAACTTTATAAATCTCTCAAAGAAAAGATGTTAGACAACTGAAAAAGTCTCAACACACCTACTTAGGGTGTAGTTTTTCTATGTTTTACTGGAAAAATCATACAAAGGTACCAATTTAATGGCATGTTCTCACAATTATTTGACATTCATTAACATTTATATATTATTTGACCATGAAATTTAAGATTTGAGGGAAGCACTGGTCATACATGTTATATACTTCCCCTTTTTATTATAAATTTATTGAAGTCAGAGAAATAGCTTCTTGATAGTCTATGGGAATATGCCCTATGTATCTTGTTTGTTTCTCTATACCTGTATTTTTCAAAAGATAAATGGAATAGGAGAAATTTTATCCCTCTTACATTGAGGTGTGCACATTATTTACTCTCTACACATCTTATTCCAGATTCTATCTCTTCAACAGACAAATGTGTATCTTGTAAATAGATATGTGAATTGTTCCTCATTGCTATTAGTGTGTATGAATAAGTTTTGTTTCCAAAAACTGCCATTAATCTCTTTTCTCATGAGTTTGATTTTCTTGTCAGCTACATTCACTAAATAACTAAATCATCCAATGGAAATGGACTGAAAGGCCATTACCCCAGAGTCACAGGAGTATGAGGAAACAAGGCAAGATGCCCTCTTCTTAATGCCCAGGCTTAAGTCTGCTGCTTTATATTTCTAGCTGACATTTCTTCCTAATACCCAAGACACTCAACATAAACAAAAATAAATGTCCACTTTCCATGTAGCTATGGGATAAAAATAATATATTGCAAGGGTATTATTGCTTCATTCCAATGCACTTTTGAGAAACTCTAAGAGAATTACAATGAATAAAATAAAACACTGGACACCCTGTGCTGTTGTTTCCCCAGTAGTCATAAGTGAAGTTGAGAAGGAAGGGAATAGAAAAATAGTTGAGATTCTGCAAATTTATAAAAAAAAATGAATGAGACACACACGTTACTTCTACTTACCTCTATTTTTTGGTTAGGAAAATTACACACACACACACACACACACACACACACACACACATCCACTGGGAACTCCAGGACAGGAAAACAATTACAAGTTTGCTCACAGCAGTGAACTCTGGATCCCAGCTGTGCCTTCAGTTGAGTGAGCCAGCTCAATGATGCTAACACACCCCTTGATCCCTTCCTCTTGTTATTGCATTCCACTCAGGGTCTTAAAGCTTAAACATCTGACACACTTAAGCAGTATTCTCCTAGATTTCACTCCAGATCACTGTACACTGAGTTTCATGTGTAGGCACAACCTTCAGGCAAGTAGTTTCTTCAGTAACTTTTCCTGTTAGTCTTCTGAACATGGTATGCTTTCCTGGTTGGGACAAAACTATTATGATAAGAAGTTAACCACATTGCAATGCAGATCAAAATGACTGAGGTTAATGTCTTTGCAGATATAAGTTGATTTTGTAAGTATGGGCTCCAATTTCAACAACCCAGAGGATTAGCCTGCAAAATCAACAGAGCTTCATGCTTCCTTTTTTTATTTTTATTTTTAGTTAATTTAATTACAATTTTAAGACCATATAATGAAAGCTTCTGCTTCTTACCTCAATTTCCCATGGTATACAAGCTCCTTTGTGTACTTCCAGTTGGTGTAGAAACCCACAACCGGAAAAAATGTCTAGGACAAGTGATGGTGGAGTCCTCACAGCTAAGTACAGCTGTGTGATTCCCTCCAAGGTTCAGGACACCGTTGTGAAGAGGGGAGGGAAAGAATGAAAGAGCAGGAGAACAGGGAGCTATGTGGCAAAACGAGGTATTCTGGGTATAACATTGACATTGCACCCATGAGCTCACTGTAGGTATTTGCTCAGGTCCTGCCTCAGATTGGGTTCCTCAATATTTTGTCATGATGGAGGAGAGACACACATGTATCCACCCCTCCCTAAGTGTCGATTGGCAATTAGTAGTTGTTGTGGGTAGTTTAGTGGTATTGCTACTAATAAGTTGCCTGACCTTGGTTCAACAAACAATCTCCCAACCAATGCTTGGGCAAGAAACTCCAACTAAACTCAGTGGCCACAGACAATAAGAAGACATACAAGTAGGAGAAGGTATTGTAAAGGCTCCATCCAGTGGGATAGGGAAAGAGGGGTGTGGGTAAAAATTCATTACATAAATGTACAAAACTATTAAACTGTAAAAAATTTAAAACTTTGAAAAAGAAAAAATAAATGAATAAGCAAACTAAAAAAGATGATGATGGTTATTAATATTTATTTTTATTTTGGAAAAAAATTGATAAATTTTCCCAAGTTTTCATAACAACAAACTTGGCCTCAAACTATAGCTTGAAGAATCACCTTCCATTTCTTTCTACCTTTGAGGCATGTTGAAACTCTCCTTTTTAGAGAAAGTGTGCAAAGTGCACAGTGAAAGTCAGATTCTTAGGCAATCACAATGATTCTACTATTCACATAAATTTTGTAGTATGTAGGTTTTAGAGTCCTATATATACTTACTCTATTCTCTAAACAATAGTGCATTGATTTTACCTTGATTCATTTATTGATCATCTTAACTCCTTTATAATTTGCTTTGCGCACACACACACACACACACACACACACACACACACACACGCATGCATGCATGCACACACACCCTAATGAAGTTGCTTAATGTAATAACTTCTCCTTTGCAAATCTCTTAACTATCTTTTACTTTTCCACACCAAATGGCCACAATTAAGTGAATTTAAAATGATTTTGGAGAAGAACAAGAAATGTAAAGAGAGAATATTGTGGAGATGGAAGAGGATTAGAAGAGGGTGATAGGTGAAACTGATCAAAAATTCCTGTGGACATGTATGAAAATGTCACAGTGAAAACCACAACTTTGTTCAATTAGTACATTCTAAAATTAAAAAAAGACCTCCTAATTAGCCATCCTGTAGGTTTACAGAAACCAGAACATCTGATGACCTTTAGAGAACAACAGAATGTATGTAAAAAATAAAAAATGGACCAGTACAGGATTAATGATTTGTCCAGCACTCACGCATCTGAGGCTAAAAGCACACTTCCTTGCTTTCATAGATAAGCTCTTGGCCTGGGTGTACCTGGAGTGCTTCACCAGAAAGTAGTCAAAGGGTCAATTAGCCCATACAGGTTATGCTAGTTGGGTCTTTGAAACACATTTGCTCTTTGTGAGTCCTTCTCAGCATTCTTATACATCTCTTCAGCTTTCCGTACTTCAGCCCACACTTATCGCTCAAACCATAATCACTATGTTACACACAGATAAGTGTACTCTACATGCTTTCATTAAAGGCTGTTGCATGTATTTATCAGCTTTAGTGTTTATGTTTATGCCTATTTACTTTATGCAGTGCCTAGAGAGGCCAGATGTCTTTGGATGTCCTGAAACTAGAGTTACAGGTGTTGGTGAGCTACTGGTGTAGGTAAGGATAACTAAACCTGAGTTTAACTAAACCTGGGTTTAACTAAACCTGGGTTTACCTATAAGAGCTGAGAGCATCCCTCTTACCTGATGAGACATCTCCCCAGGCCCTTAATTGTTTCAAGAAATGACTTGTTTATTCACTTATTTCATACATTTTTTTTTTTTTTTTGGTTTTTCGAAACAGGGTTTCTCTGTGTAGCTTTGCGCCTTTCCTGGAACTCGCTTTGGAGACCAGGCTGGCCTCGAACTCACAGAGATCCGCCTGCCTCTGCCTCCCGAGTGCTAGGATTAAAGGCATGCACTACCACCGCCCGGCCTTCATACATTTTTAAATAAAAGAAAAAAATAGAAATGCAGATTTTTTGGTCAATATGAGTGTGTTATACATGTGGTTATGTGGTCACCAACTTTACAAGCTTCCAGCAAAGGTTAGAAAACTAGTCCAGAAGTAAACTGTCACATTCCTCTCAGAATTCCTTTGCTTCAATCTGTGTACCATGAAGCCAGTGTGCAAATCACAAGATCTGAAACTGTAATTGGCATGAGAATACCCTCATATTTCAGATCATTTTGGGGTTTTAAAATATTAGCCTCCAAAATGGCATCTCCCCTATGTGTACACGCCTGTATGCATGTGTGTCATCGCTTTTTGTGTTTGTGTGTGTGTGTGTGCTGTTTTTGTTGATGTTTGCTTGCTTTTATGATCATGTCTTAAGCCTTGCTTCATTCCTTTTCAACTCCCCATTTTTATTCTTTCCAATACTTTCTTTTACTATTATATTTTGGGGGCATGTATTTTTTAAGTATTATAATGTCTAATGGGTAAAATGACTTCTCTGAAGCCTCCAAAGAGCCTTTAAAATTAGACTTTTAAGTGATACCTGAACTTGAAAGGCTCCCCTACACAGACAGAACTCCAGCCCTCACTGCTTGAGAGCTAGTATGTGGGAGAGGAAGGTTAGTTGGGAGGATGTCTGATTTATTGGATGACCATCATTTTGGAAGATGAGAGAAAATTATGATCCCTTCCTCCACCACATAACAGACACCATGAGAAGTTCAGACACTGGAAAAAGGCTTTCACAGGGAGGGCAGAGAGGTACAGTATGGAGAGCTGCAATTCACCTTGACTTTCTGTTGCTAGTTCATGTATTTTTCTCATGCAGACATAGTACGTTTCTACAGTTTTTTATATCACAAGCAATTTAAATTATTTATGTTAGTTGATATACAGGATTAAAAATAGAGAGTGTTGTATTCTGATGTCATCCAAGGCCACCACATGTTTTGATTCCTACAACTCTGGCAAAATATTATTTGGTGGCTAACATCTTTCTTTAGTTTTATTATGAACTGAGTGAAAGGTGGTAATGGTATTAAGGACAGCTAATAGAGGATTTGTCACTGTTGCAAGACTACTGGGATAGATTAAGAGCATTTTGTTTCATGAGACATGCAGGAAGCGTGAAAGGTGGCAGAGGTGCAATTCAATAGATTATAAAAATTTTGAGCTTAGCTTAAAGGTTTATAGTGTCAGCTTGATTTTGCATGTGACAGTAGGAGATGGGTGGGAATCTTCTAGAAGTGGGGCTTATTGGGTATTCCTTAGATCACTTAAATAGTATCTTCATGAGGGGTTATGAGATGTCTGGCTCTTGGCTTCCTTGGGACAATGTGCTTTCTTCTTTATCCTTGTGTACTCACAGTGATGGAATACAGCTAATGGGTCCCAATAACACTGAATCTATGCCCAGGGTCATTGACTGAACCTCTCAAACTATTGTTAAAGGACCCTCTTTTTTCATAAAATTACTCTGCCCAAATATTGCATAATAGAAATTCAAAAACACAATTACAGAAGGATAATTCATTTCATAATAAATTTATCAAGTTATATATGTATCTTAAATAATTTATTTGTAATTTCTAGAAACATATACATTATTGTGAGTTTATTTTGAGTATTCCATAATTAAGCATGACCATGCTTTGAACCACAGATGAGAATGGTCAGATGAGAACATTTGCATTTGTTGAGATGATTCATCTGAGCAATTGAGGAGATGTCTCAGGGCATAAAGTGCTTTCTTCAAAAGCACAAGGGCCTTAAATTGGATCCCCAGCACTCATAAAATTCCAGATATAGTGTTGTCTAACTATTACCCTAGAACTGGGAACAAGAACAGGCAGATCCCAGGAGCTTGTTGGTTAGCCATTCTGTCAAACATGGACTCTAAGAGTCGAGAGCAGATACTTATAGCCTCCTTGAGAAGCACCAATAGAGCAGTGATGGTCACTTTTACATCATTTGTGTCCTCTAACTAACCACTTAAGGGCTGTCATTCTCTCAGAACCTCAGGTGTGAATGTTGAATAGGAGGTAAAACTGTGGCCATTGAGGTGGAGTTTGGAATGAATGAGTATGTGATGAGTACAGTATTCCCAGCCCCAGTACACTTGAAGTAAACACTGAAGCCATCATAGCAATGAAGAATTCCCATCTAAACTAACACTGGTTCTGATTGCCACCATCTCTTCTCAAATGCAACTTGGGGACTGAGTCAGAGCAATGTCACATTGTTCCATGCAGAAGACAGACAAGCATTAGAAGAAGACAAAGCAGAGTCCTTGGTGGGACCTGCTGTGTGAAGATGTGTTACTCTGAACAATGCCTTTCATTTTCCTTTTAATAGTGGAAGAAGCAGAGGCTCCCTTGATGCCAGAAGATCCCACTGAAGATAAGCATTTAACAATGTCTGTACACCACATAAATCCACCATGAACCCAAAAATCAAAACTCATTTTTACAATTTGTGAAATATTTTGTTGTTTTATGCTTTACTTAATACCATGTTTTTGATTCTGGGTACTCATTCATAATATGTGAGATTCATCCGAGGCACAGATGGCTGTGTTAAGCAAAATGCATAGGAGACTTCTGTTAAAATTCCTTTAAATCAATCTTTAAAAAAATATTATTAGAACTATTAATGTTTGAGCCATTTATTCTTATGCTTTATTTGGGTAATTTCTGTTACTTACTATATATGTGTTTAATACATATGTGGCTATTTTTGTTTGAAGATTACATAAATGCATATAATGCTTTACTCTCTCCACTTTTTCTTATCTCCTTCCCACCTGTATCAAATGGTCCCCTTTCCTACAGGCATTTTCCCAAGTCATGACTTGTGGGGTTTGTTTTTTGAGCTATATAGTTTAGCCAAGGTAATCTCTATAATTACTGTATTGGAAATGTTCACTGGTGCCTAGAGGGAACATGTGCACACATATATGTGTATGTGTGTGTGTATGTATGTTTATATGTGATTGATACTATGTGTGTGATTTTGTGTGTATTTGATTGTATCTCTTTGTGTATGTGTTTGTATGAGATTACGTGTTTGATTGTAGGTATATATGTGATTGCTTGTGTGTGTATGAGATTATGTGTTTGGTTGTGGGTATATATGTGATTGCTTGTGTGTATAAGATTATGTGTTTGGTAGTGTGTATATATGTCTTTGTGAGTGTGTGCATGTGATTGTGTGTGTTGGGGGTGTGTGGAGAGAGGTTAGAGGTCAGTGTAAGGTGTCAGCCTCCAGTACTTTACCTGTCTGTGCTCTGTTCCAGATGTTTTGACCCATGGTCACTTGGCTCCCTTACTTCTGTCCAGTGAGTCTTGAGACAAAATAACATGCTTAGGATTATGTGGTGGAGCATAATGGATCACTTCATAGAGGACTTGATGCTGAAGTAAATACAGAAGGGCCAACAACCAGGATACTCACCTAGTCATGGAGCAGTTCTCTCCCTCTTCTACCCCCACCTCCTAATACTCCCTTCCTCTCTGAGCTTAATGACAGACAAACCCATTATTGGAGTTAGTGCTCTCATGGCCCAGTCAACTCCCAAATGCTTGTCAGCTGGGGACCAAATCTAATATATGAGCCCTAGGATTTCAGATTTAGACCATAATACCAAGTATTCAGGACATGAAAAATAACGCAGAAGCACTTTCTGAGGTAGGGTTGCCAATAAGACCCACAAATGAGAAGTTTGTGAGAAAATATAGATATGGAGATTTAATTTTGTCGATAAAAATTTTCCATCTCAGAAGCATCTTCAAGAGATGTAGGCCGGGCTGTGATGGTGCACGCCTTTAATCCCAGTGCTTGGGAGGCAGAGGCTAGCGGATCTCTGTGAGTTCGAGGCCCAGCCTGGGCTACAGAGTGAGTTCCAGGAGAGGCACAAAGCTACACAAAGAAACCCTGTCTCGAAAAAACAAAAAAAAAAAAAATGTAAAATGCTTGTCTATATTGCTAGACTGGGAAACCATAAGTGGGACCATACTATAGAGTGGTGAGTTAGAACACCAGGTGTGTACACTGTGGATAAGATGATGCAAAAAGACCACTACCAACAGCACCTAGTTCAGCCATTGCATTGAATGCTGCCTTCTTGACAATAAGGGCAGTGATGCTGTACAATGGAAACCTGTGCGTGTTACATTTTGTCTTGCTTACAGACACTTTATTGAGTTCAAGTACTAAACCAGACCTTAGAGACTTAGCCCATTTTTTACCCCACACAATAAATACTCCCCAACTCTTATTTTGAGCCTAAAGACATTAGCTTGACACCGCTAATGTATTTTGCTTCTAGTGAAAAAACAGATGCATACTTGTCAAGAGATGATGAAAATTCTTTTTTTTCTCAGTGATTTTTCAGCCATTGCAATAACTACATTAATTTTTGAGGCTGCTAAAATAATCTAAGATATATAGCAGGAAGTTTTGTACAGTAGAAGCAGCCACATAATTTTAAAAGATAAACTTTGAGATTCAGTTATTTTTTTCTTCTTTTTTTCCCTTTTACATTTCTCATGTTCCTATGGTATAATTTGCTAATGTTCAAGCTGATGTTCTAGTGTGTGTAAAAGTATTTTTTCCTCTTTTTCCCCAAACACAGCTTCATCCAGTAGAGGTGAACTGTGTCTCCCCAGGGATGTCAGGAAAGGAGAGGAGAAAGGAGAGGTTGAAAGGCAAAGAGGAAGTTCCCACCGCCAAACTGTGATCTGCCTGAGTTTCACCCGGGGGCCTCCCACTCCTGTGGCCAAAAGACCACGAAGAGTGAGAAAGACAATGCAAGAGACAGGAAATCCCAAGCCAAATGGTAGAAATGAATGATAATATTTTACAAGACCTGAAGAAGTTTTATTCCAAAGGGGTTTTTCTTTCTTTTTTTTCTTTCTGTAACTGTTTCTTAGCTACTTACCATTTCTGGCTGGTTCAGTAACATGGCAATTGAAATACAGTTGGAAAGGAATGAAATTTCTAGATGAACTTTAATTCAGGTTTTGTATTTTTAAAGGGTTATTTGTATAATAACATTTGGGTGCAAATTACATATATGTTTCACACTAACCTAACTCATTTCAGACAATCCTAATTCGACAGTTATGTACACACACACACACACACACACACACACACACACACACACATATTTTCCAAATCTGCTATTTTGGAGATAATTTTCAGAAATAAAATCAGTTTTGGAAGAAATTAACTTTCAGCATCATTTTACATGACACTTCCTTCTGATACCCTCCAGGTGGCCATAGGTATCTGCTTGGCATTGTATAATGAACTGAGAACAGTCAACATTTCATGGGCTCACACTTGAAAAATTACTACAATGTCCATCATTTTTCTGATACAAAGAAGACTTTGCTTAAGGTCATAGAGTGGTAGAATTAGAAATAGGATTGTTTAACTTCACAATTCAAGGCAAGAGTTCGTTGGACCACATTAGTTATGGTGTAAGAGATTTTAATGCCATAATTCTAGGGAATTATTTACAACATTACTTATGACATTTCTTAAAACAGCACTCTTAGATACATGGCAGTGAATGCTATAGAGGGAGGTTTGTAAGTTAAAGGTTTGTGTCATTAAGAAAACATATATTTTATCTCATGTGGCATAATATAACCAAACAACTAAATACTAAAAATTAGTGTTTAAGGAAAAATTTTAAAAGCTTTGTTGTGTGTGTGATGTGGTGTCTGAGTGTATGTGTGTGTGTGTTCATGTATCTGAGTTATAAATTTTCCTTGATGTTTATTCTATATTTTAAGATATAACATAAATTAATTTTTGTGAATGTTAAAATTTCTAGTTTTTGACATTATAAATGTTCTTGACACACACTTTGATGAGAGGTTATCATCTTCTTACTGAATTTGCTTGGCTCAGCTGTGAAATAACTGTCTGTGTCTGTGCATACTATTTTATTCCTTTGATTTCTGCACATATTGCCAACCACATGGTTTTATTCACTGTAACTTTATATTGTTTTTTCAAATCAAATTGTAACTCCTTCACATCTAACTTTCACTTTAAGCTTAATTTGGATAGATTAGGTTGGAAGCAGCACCATAGGGAATTTGAGAATTAGTTGATATGTAAAATATTAAATATAAAATATTTTATAAAATTTATATTAAATAAATACATAAAATTATATATTGCATTATTTTATACAAATTTATAAATATCATATATTATTTAAAATAAATATGTGTGATTTATGTATAAATTTACATATAAAAATAAGATAATGTGATATAATTTTATCTATAGAATGATATGGGAAAATTTGATGCTTTAATTTTTTTAAATCTTTCCTTTTCTTTTCATTACACATGAATATATTCAGATATGTGTGTCTTTCTGTGCATGTGTATAATTTGTGGGGGAATAGGCCTTGTTGTTTAGAACATGCCAGCCATGAATCCTCATTGTCTTACCTCAGCACGTCATGTTGAAATTATAGCCATGTGCCAACAAACAGGAATTTTGAATATTTCTATATGAACATCACATGTCATTTGAATTATTTAGTATCTATTTTCTAATCCTCACCATTTATGTTTGGTTTCTCTGTATATTTAGTTAAATTAATAAATATTTAATATATTTTTATATTTTTGTTAGTCTAATTTTAAAATTTAAAAACTAGTTTTCTTTTTTCTATTAAAATAATGTCTAGAAATAAAATGTATTTATAAATTTATGACATGTTTTTGTGTCAGGTAAATTTCATTGTTTAGGAGGGTTGGTTACAAGTTGTTGTTAAGGGTTAGGAAAAGGGCTAAATAAAGGAGATTAGATTTAAGGTTCTTGTTTTAAAAAAATAAAAAATAAAAATGATATATAGAAATGATAGAACAGAGGGTAGATTATTGAATCTACTTGGAAAAATAAAGAGAAGATATAGATATGATCTAGATGAAAAAATAGATTATTGAATCTACTTTTAAAAGACAATTACTAGTTTTAAATACTTTACATTGGATTGGATTTTTGTATATTGCATACAAATTATATTTATTGAGACTGATATTGTTAGAAAACGCTATATGTATATTTCTAATCTTGTTCAAGATATTGTACTTATGCCATTCATTTAACAATGTAATGCAATTTGCTGATCTTTGAATGTTATTATTACCAACTATTAGGATATAAAGAAATGAAAGTTAGTAGTTAGACATTACAATCGAACTTGTAGTCATATTAGGTATGTTTTCAAGATCGAGCAGATATAATTTAGATAGACAGGTCATCTTCAAACCCTTCAGAGATCTACAGAATATGGCATTTAAAATGTTTTAATAACTTACAAATTTTTTCCTTTATTTATGACTATAAGACATGTCAGCTCCTGGCAGTACCAATCTACTTCAGAGAAAGTATGGGCATTGAAGAAACTGCATATGGAGTTAACTTTCATTGTGGCAAACGTTAGCCACTGGACAGCAAAGTATCCTCGAATTGACTACTGACAAACAGGACAAAATGGACAGACAGGACACGAAACAAAGGACTATGGATTCTTGCCAAGACAAGTGTGGTTGTGGCTTTAGCAACAGGCATCTTCTGAGGCCAGGTCAAAATGGCACCATCCCTGAAGTGGCCTTTGCAATCTGGAAAAGGTACAGTGCCCTTTTCTTCGTAGGCAGCTGAACAGGCAATGGGCCCATGGCTTCTGATTTGCAGTGGAACAACAGCTGAAACAGTTATTCTTGAAAGAGTAACTAAGCTAACAGTCTCACCTCTCAATGGTAGACTGGCATTTAATAAGAGTTGAAGCCACCCAAAAGCTGAGAAAAACAGGATGCTGAGATGAAGCCACACACACAAGCCAAGAAGAATGGACAGCTGAATTAAAAAAAAAAAAATTCCAGAATTCAAAATCATGTGAATCATGACAGGACACTAGTGGAATTCAGGTGTTTCTGGTGCATGCACTGCTCTCACCAAATGTGAGGTCAAACTGTTGGCCTTGTGTACATCCTACTTCACAAATGAGTCAGTCAGATACACTAAGCCTATAGGCTGAAGATGATGTGCCAAAGCTGTGGAGAAACCTCGGGTGACTGTCCAGGTAGCTGGTTGTTTCTGTCAGCTCACATTTTTTTTTTGGAAGCCGCTTGCATGCACTTCCTGTTTTTATTTATTTAGGTAGTATTATTTCCTTCTGGGGTCTCTGAGGGAGTTGAAGATTAGTTATAGTTATAGTTGAAGATTAGATAGTTTCTTGTTTGTTTGTTTGTTTTGGTCTTTCGAGACAGGGTTTCTCTGTGTAGTTTTGAGCCTTTCCTGGAACTCACTTTGGAGACCAGGCTAGCCTCGAACTCACAGAGATCCGCCTGGCTCTGCCTCCTGAGTGCTGGGACTAAAGGCATGCACCACCACCGCCCGGCGAAGATTAGATAGTTATAGTTAGTTAAATTTTAGATAGTTATAGTTTTCCTTGTTAAGAACTTCAGAAAAGAAACTCACTAAAGAGTAAGTGTATACATTTTAAAGACATTATAAGATAGTTCTGTTAGTAATATAAGTTAGGATAGAAAGTGAATCAGGTACATTTTGGACTTACCAAAATAGGATAGATAATGGAATTATTTTCTCTGAATATGTCAAATGCAAATGGACTAGACATTGTTTAGGTATTTATTACTTGTATATATTGTATATAGTTTGTATATAGTTTTTCTTATATTAGTTAAAATGTTTTTCTTTTTTTCTTTTTATTAAAATAGAAAGGAGGAAATATGGTGATATTTTATTTGTGCTGAAATGTGATTTTATTTGTTTGTTAACAAATAAAGTTGCCTGGGGGTCAGAACTAATAGCAAGCCATAGCAGAAGCTGGGCAGTGATGGCACAACCCTTTAATCCCACATGACAGGCAGAGTCTGTGTGTTCAAGGACATAGCCAACTTGTAAACACATGCCTTTAATCTCAATACCAACCATAGAGACCTGGAGGTCTGTATAGACAGACAGTGACGAGGAGGTCATGTGGTTGGGTTTACAACCAATGAGAAGGCAGAACAGAAAGTCAATAAAAAGACAGACACACAGGAAGTAGGTCTCTTGATGAGAGGAAGGACAGCAGTGGCATCAAGGTGGTAAGAAGGTGGTATCAGCTTTTGGCTCTCTGGCCCCTTGGGCTTTTAACTGCATTTGACTCTGTGTTTCTTATTTAATAAAATAGTTTAGAATTACATCTACACTTAGTGATTTCCCTTGTTAATTCCTTGCTTTTTGTAAATTGTAGGACTTTCACACACATAATAGTTCTAGGTGCTCTACGTCATAATGAAAACACATTGAAGATGAAGAACGCAGGAGAGTATTGCATTGCTCTTGGACTCAGTCTGTTGGGCTATGTCGAATGTTTTTGATTCTGTGGTAAAGCAAACCATCCTGTCAAAGACTTCATGGAGTAAAGCTGATGCTCAGGGGGTGGCAAGAGAAGAGAACAGGGAGAGAGGGGAGAGAAGATAGAGAAGAAAAGAACGAGGTAGTGGAAGAGGGGGAAAGATAAAGAGATCCAGTGAGAAGAGACAGAGAGGAAGAGAGAGAAATAGACTATTTCTTCTTTGATGCATAGGTTATTTTGAAGTATTTTGCCCAGTTTTTACATATTTGTGACTTCTATAAATATCACTTTGATCTTGATTTAAAATTTAATTAATATTTCAAATTCTTGTTAATATATGCTTAACGATATTGATACTTTTAAATTTGTTTAAATTTGTATCATGGCTCAGTATAGGAAACATCTTAATGGATGGTCTATGTACATTCGTAGAATGACATTATTTAACTATTTTGGGGTGGAAAATTATATAATTGGCCATCAGGAAACCTAGGATAAGTCCTTGTCCTACTGTCCTCACTAAATTTCTCCATGAAATATTGAAAGAAAAAATTAAAAAATTTCATATACAATTGTAGGTATATTTTGATTACTTTATATTGCTTATTTGTAGTTCTATATAGTTTTATTTTTCTTGTACAATGATCATACTTGAACTAGGGTTTATTTTATTCTACTAAGTAAATGTTAACTTAATTATCACAATATAACTTTGAGAACCTGTAAAAATGCACAGAGGAGCTTTAGCATATGTGTTTGAGCTGTAATCCTGCTAAGAATGGCTTCTGGCATAGCAAACACATGTGTGTTCTGTTTGATTAGGCTCAGAAGCAAAGGCTCTTAGAGTTCTGAAAATTTTCCAGTTGGTGTTCTATGAAAGCTGTGTTTCTTTAGCAGTTACTCTGGCCTTTAGGAGTCATCTGATATATATGTAACTTAACATCTGGCCAAAGACACAAGGTGACCTGTAGCTAGAGAGTTTTCTCCCTGGGTCCGGCCAAGCCCCGGCAGTCTGACAGCCCACATATAAAATAAACACACAGACGCTTATATTATTTAAACTGTTTGGCCTAATGGCTCAGGCTTCTTGTTAACTGTTCTTATATCTTAAATTAACCCATCTCTATTAATCTATACTTTGCCATGTGGCTCGTGGCTTACCGGTACCTTACATCTTCCTTGTCATGGCAGCGGCTGGCTGTATCTCTCTCTCTCTGCCTTCCTGTCCTCTCAATTCTCCTCTCTGTTAGTCCTGCCTATACTTCCTGCCTGGCTACTGGCCAATCAGTGTTTTATTTATTAACCAATCAAAGCAACAGATTTTACATACAGAACATCCCACAGAACTTCCCCTTTTCTTTTTTTTTTAAAGGAAGGTTTTAACTTTTACATAGTAAAATTACAGATAACAAAACAATTATCAAGCAAGAATTACAGTTATAATATCTAGTCTATTTATAGTAACTAGTCTATTTGGCAAAATTAAAGAAGATACCCTATCTATCCTATATTTGTGAGTCTAAGTTTTCATATCTAACTTATCTTTTATCATAACTAAGGAAAATTATAACTATCTCTAATCTTTAACTACATCAAAGACCTCAGAAGGATATAATTATTACATGAGAAATGTGAAAAGGATGCAAGCAATTTTGGGGAGTCTTGTAAGAGTAGACCGAGACAGCTGGCAGCCTGAACAGTCATTCAAAGTTCCTCTGTAAAGTTGGGGCATCTGTCTTCAGCCCACAGGCCTAGAGTCTCTCAGTCACTTTTCTCTGTGTCCTGTAGAATGTCTGGCAGTTTCCTCTGTGAAGCAGGAACCTGAAGGACCATTTTGCCAAGCAAAGTTCAGTGGTCATCTTCTATGTGTTCTGCATGTCCAGTATATCAAGCAGTCCAGGTAAGAACAGTTTCTTGTCCAAATGGCTATTTTTGTCAAGGTGAAGATAAACTCCATATACAGTGTCTTTGATGCCCATCCTCCTCTCTGAAGCAAATAGGTACTGCCAGGAGCAGACACGTCTCATTGTCCAGAAAGTCTAAATTTTTAAAAATATTTTAAATGTCATATTCTGTAGGTCTTTGAAGTATTTGAAGATTACCTGTCTATATGAAAAATATCTATGTATACCTAGAAAAATTAACATGACTATGTTAGACTATCATAGAAGACTAATTGATCTATATTTCTTAATTATCCATTAAAATCTAAGTGAGTTACATAAACATAATACCTCAAATGAGAATAGAAATATATATACAGTATAACAAAATTAAGTTTAAACTTGTACCAATAAACTAAAATCTATACCAATGTAAAACATTTCAAACAAGTTGTTGCTCTTTAAAAGTAGGTTTATTAAGCCAGGCAGTGGTGGCACATGCCTTTAATCCCAGCACTTGGGAGGCAGAGCCAGGCGGATCTTTGTGCATTCTAGGCCAGCCTGGTCTACAAAGCGAGATCCAGGAAAGACACAAAGCTACACAGAGAAAAACCTGCCTTGAAAAACAAAAAACAAAAAACAAACAAACAAAAAAAACAAAGTGGGTTTATTAATCTACCCTTTCATCTTATCATATCTAAACTAATAGAATATATTAAGTATTAGATTCAGGTTCTTTAGGATAGGACACCTTTCGGAATGATCATTGTAACATGCTATTTACATATGCTCTAGACTTCTCTGGATTTTAGTATTTGTTTCTTGCTTGATATTGTTTGCATTGATTGTAGTTCCATCTTATCTAGGTCATTATCCCTCATTACTCCTGGACAATATTTGATAATCATTCCTTTGTATATAGTCTTATATTAGGTTAGAACCTTCTTATTTAGACATAAGTCGGGGGTGTAGTGGGTAGCCATTCCAGCTTTGATCTGGAAGTTCCAACCCCCATTGAGGCTTCAGTAACTGTCACTCCTACAAGGCAGGGCCAAGAGAAGACCCTGAAGGCCCAAGATCCAGATGCACCAGCTCTCTTGGTTCCTGGACCCTACTCTGGAGGTAGACTGCCAGACTGCACTACACCTTTCCCAGACTCTGTAAACTATCCATTCACTTGTAAGTTACCCCACAAAATAAACCACCCTTTTAACTACGTGGAGTGGCCTTAATAATTTCACCAACACTGACTTTTATGCAGACATCTGGAACTTTTTCTGTGTGGCTTTCCTTCAAGCATCTGCCTTCAAACTACCAGCGCTCTAAACCTTTCTAATCTCCTGTTTCTTTCTATTCAGTTAAGAGAAATTGCAAATGAAGTGTTGATCCAAGGTCTTCGGCCAGTGCCCAGTGACTAGCTCTGCACAGACACTCGAGGCATTTACTATCTGTCACTATTTTTATTTTTATTCTTGCTGAGTGTTCACCTTGCTTTACAGTCTACCCTCCAGCAAATGGAAATAGCTCCATGAAGTCTTCTACACTTACAGCTGGTTAAAGCTGGATGAAAAGGTAGCTGTCTACTTCTCCTATTGAACATGGAAGACTCATTCAGTCAAATCATGTAAGGTGTCAAAGATTGCAAACTTTCCTAGGAAAAGATTTTCAAGTGAAGAATCTTCCAGGAGGAATTCCTATCTTTCATCACAGTAGTGCCATAATTAGAAGAATCAATTCATAGTAAACGTTATTCTTTAAAAAGTAAATGACATTTTAAAATAAAGCATTAAAGTCTCCACATTCTTAAAAAAATTCTTGATGTGGACAATTATAGCAAGTATGATTTGATTAATTGGTGATATTTCTGGAATATTTATGGGAAGTTTATATGTATAAATCCTTTAGTCACATCATTGTTCATTAGTTACTAAGACTCACATCCTCATCAACTGGAATGTTTCTAGGAAATCATTCATATTTTAAGATAACCTGTCTTTACAAAAATTCCATTAGTTTGCCTGATGATATAAATAATAATGCTAATGACTAACATTTAGAATTATGCTCTTTATATTATATTAAGCAGTTGATATGCATAATGAAAGTAAATTTTCTTAACCTACCTTCCTAGTTTCTTCCTCCTTTGGTAAATTGAAAATACTGTTTGAGGATATTTGCTCTGTAATAATCATATAATAGTTATATATAATGATTAGAAAATAAACTATGAACATAATGATTTACAGATAGCTTACCTAGCAATGTGTTTGTAGTTAAGCCACCTCATGGGTTAATTTGTCATTTGAAATCTATCTGTAGTGGGGCTGCGGAGATGGTTCATCAATTAAGGTGCTTGCTGCTCTTGCAGAGGACTGCAGTTCAGTCCCAAGTGCCTACATGACATCTCACAATCACCTGTAACTCCAGCTCCAGGGGATCTGATACCATCTGCTGTCCACAATGGTTACTGCATGGAGTTGGTGCTCTCACATATGTAGACACACATAATTAAAATAAATACCTTTATGATTGTTTGTTTTTCAAGATAGGGTTTCTTCATGTAGTTCTGGCTGTCCTGGTACTCACTCTGTAGACAAAGCTGACGTCAAACTCACAGATCTGCCTGCCTCTGCCTCCTGAGTGCTGGGATTAAAGGGGCGCACAACTTTCCAACCACACACCCCATCCTTTGTATCACAATTGTGCTCTGGTAGGATCTTGTAAAGAATAACCTGTAGGTATGTTTTATACATGTACACAAACACATTTCACACATATATCTGCATATTCACATGACATCTTTTGACATACCTTAAGCATTAAAATAATAATTGAAAATATGTAGATGGGTTGAATGTGTTGGCTAACCATAAACATAAAGGAAGGTTAATTTTGCAAGTTCAGAAAAGTATTAGAAGTATAGATCTGCAACACTCTAGAAAAATTAAAACCACAATTTCCATATTTATGTAGTTGCACCAGAATTTTCAGTATCTCAGATAAAATTTGACTTTTTTTGAAGATGCATTTTCTTTACTGACATATTCAGAGTTACTGTTAATAGGTTAACAGTTATTAGATAATGGATAACATTTGAAAGCTGGCCTGAGTTGACATTATTTTGTACTTAACATTGTGATCATATGTATTACTTTAGTTATTAAACTGAATGAGTAGGCCTTCTATATACAAATGACAAACTAAGAAAGAAATCAGAGAAATAACACCTTTTACAATAGCCCAATATTATTAAGATATCTTGGGGTAGCTCTAACAAAGCAATGACTTTTTATGATAAAAATCTTTAAGACAACTAAAGAAAGAAATTTAAGAAGATCAGAAAATGGAAAGATATCCTGTATTCAGATTGATAGGACAAATATAGTAAACATGGACATCCTTTCAAAAACAATCTACAACTCCAATGTAATCCTCATCAAACTTCCAATAAAGTTCTTCACAGGTCTTGAAAGAACCATTTTCAACTTCATACAGAAATACAAAATACCCAGAATAGCTAAAACAATCCTGAATAGTAAAAAAAAATTGAGAAGGTATCACTATCCTCACTTTCAAGTTGTACTACAGAGCTATAGTAATAAAAATAGCATGATGTTGTCCCCAAAACAGACATAACATATTGATCAGAAGAATTGAATTTAAGACCCAGAGATAAATCCACACATCTATGGAAGCCTGATTTTTGATAAAGAAGACAAAATACACATTGGAAAGACAGCATTCTCCACAAATGTTGATCAAACTATATGTAGAAGTAGACAAATAGATCTATATTTATCATCCTACACAAAACTCAACTCCAAATGAGTCAAAGATCTCACTTAAAACCAGATACACTAACAATAGAAGTGAATGTGGGGAATAGCCTTGAACCCACAGGCACAGGAAAAGTGCTTTCTGAACAGAACACCATTAGCACATTAGCACAGGCACTAAGATCAACAATTAAGTGGGACATCATGAAACTGAGAAGTTTCTGCATTGCAGAAAACACCCTCATTCAACAAAATGTCAGGCTACAGAATGGGAATTTTTTTTCAACCACACATCCTATAGAAGGCTAATATCCAAAATATATAAAGAACTCAAAATACTGGACACCAAGAAAGCAAATTACCTTTATTAAAAATGGAGTATAGATCTGAACAGAGAATTCTCAAAAGATGAAACTCACATGGCTGAGACACTTAAAGGAATGTTCAACATCCTTAGCCATCTAGAAACTGCAAATTAAAACTTGTAGTGGGTAGCCATTCCAGCTTGGTTCTGGAAGTTCCAACCCCCATTGAGACTCTGGCAACTGTCACGCCTACAAGGCGGGGCGAGGGGAGGCGCCTGGGGACCCGAGAGCTGGATGGGCCAGCGCTCGCTCTGGGCGCTCTCTCGGTGTCGGGATGCTGACCGGTGCAGATTGACTGTGCAGAGCTCCGGAGAACACCGCTGGACTGCGTTACACCTTCCCCAGACCCTGCGACCTACCCATTACTTAATTTGTGAGTTACGCCATTAAATAAATATCCTTTTAACTACATGGAGTGGCCAAAATAATTTCTCCAATAAAAACTACTTTGAGATTTCATTTTGAGTGGCTAAAGATGAATAAAACCAGTGACAGGTCATACTTTGAAGAATGTAGAATAAGGAAAACATTCATCCATTGCTTTTGGGAGTGCAAACTTGTACAGCCACTATAAAAATCACTCTGGCAGTTCCTCAGGAAGCTGGGAACAGACCTACCTCAAGATACAGCTATACCCACTTGGGCATATACCCAACAGACACTTCATCTGACCACAGAGATACTTTCTCATACATGTTATTTGATGTTTTCTCCATAAAAGTCAGAAATTAGAAACAACCTAAATGTTACTCAACAGAATAGATAAAGAAAATATGGTTCATTTATACAGTAGAGTATAACTTAGCCTGAAGGAAAAAAAAGGGGATATCATGGAATTTGCAGGTAAATGGATGGAACTATTTAAAAAAAAATATCATCCTTATTGAGATATCCCAGACACAGAAAGACAAATCTGGTCTGTATTCATTTATATGTATACTGTGATTTTTTTCTTTATTTGTTTTATTAAAAAGTAAAACTTGGCAGTAAATATTAGGGAATAAACCTGGGAGATCCACAGAGTGACAGAGACATGAACATCTGCCTCACCCCACTTCCTGAAGTGAAGAGCCAGTGTGATCTCTGGACTCTCTCTTTTACTTCCCAGTGTGTCTTTTTGTTTGTTTGTTTGTTTTGTTTTTCGAGACAGGGTTTCTTTGTAGTTTTGGTGCTGTCCTGGATCTCACTTTGTAGACCAGTCTGGCCTTGAACTAACAGAGATCCATCTGGCTCTGCCTCCTGAGTGCTGAGATTAAAGATGTGTGCCAACAACGCCTGGTCCAGTGTGTCCTTCTGTCTCCCTCTGAGTCAGCCAGAAAACTCTGTGGTCCACTCTGACCAGCTGAATGTGGACTCTGCCCTCTGAATGAAGATGAGACTCTATTGGTAGTCTTGGAACAATCAACACAAAATACCTCCCCTAACATTTCCCCCTTTTTGTTTAAATAAAAAGGAAGTGTTTTAATTCCAACATAGTTAAATGATATACAATAAGAACAATTATCAGGTACTGTCTAAATAAAAAGGAAAGAATTTAACTTTAACAAATTAAACTATATACAATAAGAATCATCAAGTAAGAATTACATTCACAATGTCTAGTCAATTTGTATTTGACAAATTCAGAGAAAGCACTCCAATATCTATCCTTTTTTTGATGAGTCCAAAATGTGTACCTGATTTACTTTCTATAATGATTAAGGAAAGCTGTTACTATAACTATCTAGTCTTCAACACCATCAAAGATCTGAGAAGGATGT